CAAATAAATCTGAAGATTTGGCTCCTTCTGGGTCTCTTTTTGGCTTTGCCATCTCTCTAATTTTCCCTTTCTTGGGAAATGAGGCTGGCAGAAGCCAGATTAGAGGGGATTTTGATAGACCAGAGTCAAGACATTGTAATGGGGAGCCATGGAATGTTATTGAGCAGTGGAGTAACAATGAACATAATGCAGCATCAGGAATGGCTAATTCTAGCAGCATCCCAGGACAAATTAGAGGGCCTGCATTTGGGAAAGTAGGCTTTTAAATATCCAGTAGAAGAGGGGGAATTCAACATTTATTGCATGGCAACTGTGTGCCGCACTCTGTTCTAAGCACATTGTATATGTCAACTCATTTTCCCAACAACTACCTGAGATAGAGACTCTGTTGCTCCTGTTTGTAGAGGAGAAAGCTGAGATGCAAAGAGGTTAGGAAATCGCATAAGGTTGCACAGCTAGCAAGTAGAATAGGGAGCCAAACCCAGATTTGCCTGCCACCAAGGTCAATGTTCTAGTCTTTACTGAAACAGTCTTTTATTAGTTGTCTACTACTGCTATAACAAATTGTTACAGATTTAGTGTCTTAATACAAATCTGTAATCCTATAGTTCTGGACATCAGAGGTCCAAAATGAATCTTGGGGGCTGAAATCAACAAGTCTTTGGCAGGGCTAGTTCCTACCGGAGGCTCCAGGGGACAATAAAATCCTTGCTTATTCCAGCATCCAGAGGCTGGCTTCATTCTTTGGCCTGTGGCTCTATCATGTAAATCTCTGCTTCCTTCTATCTTCTCCCTCCTCTGATCTCCTGCCTTTCACTTATAAGGACCCTTGTGATTACATTGAGCCCACCTGGATGTTCTAGGATCCTGTCTCCATTGCAAGATTCCTAATTTAATCACATGTGCAAATTCCTAATTTAATCACATCTTACTTTACCATGTAAGGTAACACTCATGAGTCCTGGGGATTAAGACATGGACATCGTGGAGGGGAAGAAATTATTATTCCAGTCATCACCTTCAGCCAGTTTCTCCTGGTTTTTTAGCTACTGACATCTTTAGGATGTCCAAGAGTCTTTTCCAGTGATTAAGAGTTTCTTAAAAAGCATCACAACTTCTCTGAAATGGAAAGTGTCCAGCAGGAGGCCAGCTCTGTGAGGGTGGGTCAGGGTTGCCTTGTTCACTAGCCTGTGCCTGGGATAGAGAAAGCGTCCAATAAATGCCTATTTAGCACCAAATGCACCAGAAAAGGGAAATGATGTGCTCAAGGCCACACAGCCAGGCTGTGGCCGGAATGAAGCGCTCATGTCTATGTGGCTTGTCCATGCCTTAAAGAACGTTTGAACTGGGAGAGTTTATCACGTCATAGAAAGCATCTTTGAAGGCTTCCTTTGATTTGGAAGCCTCTCTAAGGAACCTGAGATTGGCTTCTAGCCAAAAGATGATCAGGGAGGTTCAGGAAACTGTTGAGCTTTAACTAGAGTGTTAGGATCAACCAGAAATAGATACCACAGGGCTTGGGAGTGAAGATATAAGCTCCATCTACACTGGGAGCAGCAAACACCAGGACAGTATGGTGGCAGGGCTGGAAACAGCCTCCTGGTCTCCTGGGCCAATGGGATAGACTTTTAATAGGAGAACAGAGTGGGATGAGAAAGGCAACCACCCCCACCCCCAGGTCCCAGGTAGGCATTGCTAATAGACTTCTGTGAATAGAGTGGGATGAGAAAGG